TCGAAAAGTTTCTCACAGCCGGTTAAGGATTAATATTCGAGTCCGCAAATTTAATTCGACTTCCGACGCATCCTCGCTCGGTATTTATTCGTCTGGCTTGGACGAGTGCCAAATGTGGATATTATATTGCGATCCGGTCGCCGGACCCGATATACGGTACAGAATTTTATTCAACGGGAAATAGATCGTAAATAGGAAATCGGGGACACCAGGGTGCACGGTGCGTTAAACATCCTGGGCTAATTAATATAATAATGGACGTATCGCATTCTCTTACAATATGGATGATAATTTGTCGATAACTTAATATTAGCATATTAAATGCGTACTAGTGTGTAGCTTATGAGCGTGAAATTTGATCAATTTATATTGATATTACATTTGGTGACCAGAGAGAGAGAGGAGGGGAATTCTTTCTCATTGAAGGATGGCACGTGACAAGAATATTAGATTTTATCTCGATAGAGACGAGGACAAGATAGATAGTATAAATAGGAAGGTAGCGACGTCCACGGTCCACCGCGTGTTCTGAATTAATTTCAGCAACGATAAAGTCATTGCGGTTTATGTATTCTCTAAATATGCATAATGACATGGCACTAATTTATTATGAACATATTAATATCTATCGCCGTTTCTTCTGCACCCCCCTCTCTCTTTCATGATAGCATAAAATTTAATATGTTAGGCATGAACTTTCCATGCATTTCGCAGAAATTAACGTATTGCTATGTACGTAATTTAGACGTGCCTTACAGGCGTGTATATAGAGACTCTCACTAAATACAACTACTGGATGATAACCGTAACGTCGTACCGACAGCGATATTAGTATGATAATGCACGCTTGCAAAGGGCTCAAGCGGGACGTAATCTTACCGTATCCGACTGCAACATAAATTTTCGGGAGAACGCTAATTTTGCATTTATTCTATGTAAGCCGGGTGGGTATACGTGTATGGTCGGTATAAATTAACTTATTATTTAACTGTCAAAGTATATACACACTTTTAATGAGATTTCTCTACGAAAATTTCGATATTCGATACGCGAAACAGCGTGTACAACGATTAAAACGGCTCCGTTATGGCGATCCACTTTTAATTCAGTAACGTTACTTTTATAGGCCCCTCTCGGATATTCTATTAAAATTCCACCATTTTATATACGTATAAGAGTAAAGGTCGTGAAAATTTGTAAAGGAAAAGAATAGACGAAAGAGGAAAGTGAGATAAGCTCATCCTAGTGAGTTAATTTGCGGCCACGAACACAACACGCCCGAGCGAATGTCTCGCTTGTCAAAAAGAGATATTTACATGGGAGTATAATTGAGACTTTAGAACGCCCTGAACGTACTGAATCGATATCTAACATCGATATCGGCTGTTATCGTGACGTTGGCCCGACTTGATTAATAACTATCCGAACCCGATATTCATTAGCGCATCCGCTGGTGCATCCGACTTAAGCACGAACGAAGTCGTATCTTTCGAATAAACGGATAAATTGACGATGCTATCGGCGCAATAGACAGAACAGCTCCATAGGTGTTAACGTAGTGGCGCTTTCAATTAATTTGAAATATCGACGCCGCGGAGCATTGACGGCCAGAGGGAATTTTGCAGGCGAATTTTTGCAATTTTTTCATTACTCCGGAAAATTGGTAAAATACGATATATTGGCAAAAGAAATTTTTTATTAACCGACGCAATATTAATGTTCTCCTCTGTTCCTGGGTCCATAAAAATGTTACATATTTTTTACTACTCTTTTTCGTTCGTGCTATGTATAAAATTTAACAAGACATCGATCGAGAGAAGTCCGTAGAATGTTTTTAAAAAGAACAAGTTAATAATTTTATTGGGCGCTTGTCTGAACACTTGGACGACTTCTTTTGATCGTTCCGTGCTCGACGTTTCGCTTTGATCTAGCCATTTTTCTACATGAAAATATTACCTTGCGATTCCGTGTGAGTTAAGAATTTAAGATTGCTCGTGCACAGAAAAGAGAGGTGATAGGCATATATATATTTAAATGTTTCTTCGATAAAATTTCACGAGTGCAAGCTCTCTCTCTCTGATTTTGTCAGCCTGGGCACCACTGCAATGCTGCGCCGCAGTTGCTAGCGGCATGGCGCTTTACTTATTATTAATGGCGACATAATTAATCGCCCGCGGATCGATCGATTACGTCGCAAGTGCGTTGCGGCTATGGGAAACGGCCAGATGTATCGGACAGAGAACATTAATAGTAATTCTTCCGCCACGCGGCTTTTCCGCTCTTCCTTTCGATTTTTAAGCGCCGATTTCGCCTTTTTGCGTATGGCCCAGTGATGATATTCAAGTCATAATAACGACGTTTTATTTTTAAACAATTTAACTTTATAATATCGAATGACTTACGCAGAATAACCGATCGATCATTTTATTTCTCCTGCAGTGGGTTTAAGTGTATAAAGGGCGCCCGACAACAATGACAATAGAATGAAATTCGCGATGAATCTAATTCTCGAATTAAGTTTGTCGTTACGAATTCGCTACGTACGTGCACATCGCTGCGTGTCATTTATAGCTCGAATAATAATAGTGAGAACACTTAAGAAACTAGGACAGTTTTTACTTTGCCGAGTGTAGGAGAGAAGAAGAGAGAAAAAAGGAAAAGAAGATAGGAAAAAATTTCCCGTGTCAGAACGTCTTGACTTCGCCCATTTTATTCTCGTTATTGGCCCGAGAAACTTGTCACTTTACTACTTTCAATTTCGCTACACCTTCTGTAAAAAGTATAGCATATAGATTGCCGATGAAAAGCCAATTTTCGTGCATCCGATACTTAGGTAGTAAGCGTTTGGCGAAAAAAGAGGAAAAAGGATAAAAGAAACTGAAAAAAGTAGCGTCTTCGATATCTCTCGTACCGTTCGAATAAATCGATACAAACTGCTAGATATGATGAGAGATTCTTTTAAAAGTACTGTAAGCTGAATTTCTCAGATGCATCGTTAAAGCATGTAGAAGTTTCTAAAACAGTTTAATGTGTACATTGTTGCGCGATGTGTATGACAAACAACATAAATAAATTTATGTTATTCTAAAACTCTAATCACACACTTTTAATGTGTAAATAAAAAAAATTATCTTTTTCAAAAGAAGATAAAAAAGAGCCAAGTGTACTACCAAGTGCACTGCCAATAACTGTTCTTTTAAATATTTAAAAAAATTATTTCTGAGAAAACGTTATTATATTAAATTAAATTTATTATATTAAACATTAATTCTAAGCTATATCAATTTAATCTTGTATTCTCAAAAAATAATGATATCAAGAGATTAACGCCAAATAAAAATGAACGTCCTAAAATGAAAAAAATTAGGACCTAAATACGTCCTAAAAAAAAAAAATTAGGACTTCCTAAAGACATCCTAAAATAAAAAAAATTAGGACGTGCTACAGTTCCGCGCGTTAAAAATATAAATGACATCCAACAGTAATCGTGCTTTAATTTGTCTTATCGTACATAATGTTTCACTTAATGACTGATCGAATCGGGCTAAAATTATGCGATATTAGTGTGGTATCACCCTTTATCACTTCTTAATTAATCTGACGATAAGGATAATAGACGTAAGTCCGCGCTCTTTAAGGGAGATGAATTTAACGAGATTAAATCGATCGGAAGTAGATTCATTTTTATGGAATTTTTATAGGATTCATATAGGAGATTTTCTCTCGTTTAAGTATTATTACAATGAGATTATGAATGGGATCCTTCACTGAAAGTATAATGTAATTCCTTTTTCACAGTCGATAGATTTTCCATCTCGGTAGAAAAATTCACAATATATTTTCGGACAGTCGTGATTATTTTTTGAAAGAATGAGCGAAGAATAATTAACTCTTTAGAATGTTAAAACTTACAATTCGCTGACTCGCGCTCAGTGTCGCAGAGAAACTATATTAGGTCGACCGTAAGAGGCGAATTTGGAGGCTATGAAAAAATATGTCGACGTAGGAATGGTAATTTCGGCGAAGGTAGTGGAAAACTTGCATAAGAAATGACTGGGCAACAACGTTGTGCTCTGTGCACGTACATATGTTGTGCTATAAAAATTATGCTTAGTCAGGTACTGCAGCGGACGAAAAATTATTCAGCATTTTTATTCAAGGCCTGGTAGGACGTTTTTTTAATTCAGAGGCGGGAAAATTAATTGCAACTTACGTGCGCAGCTCGGGATATAAAAACGCGTTACAATAATTTAACGCGTTGCATCAATTCGGCAAAGCGTTACACTACGTCGGTTGCAGAAAGAGCCCCTCGTTAAAAACAGCCCAATGGAATAAAATTTTACGGATCTCCCTGGAGAACCTTTCGCATTTATGCCACCGTTGCGCGAGGTTGAAATCGCATCTCGCAATATGGAAATCGCATATAGCAAGTACGAACGAAAAGATTGGAAAAATATGGGAATGATTTGACTAAGCGTTCCGATACTCTGAAAGCCACTTAAAGCATTCGACTCCTCGCTATTTTTATGTATATTTCTATGTAATGTGTCAGAATATGAGATTGTGTCTCGATACACTTTGTAGGCACGATCATTTTGCGCAAATTTTTGTATAAAAAGGGAATACAACAATTTAATTAAAAACTAGACATTACAAATGCGCATCACCGAACGTCATTAATCCCTATATATTTCAACATATTTTTAAATATTTTATACATTTTTAAAGCCATCTCGCTCTGCACCAGAATACACAAACCTCGCGCGATAAGCTTTTTTATCGACAACCAATGCGATTTACACTTTATAAATACCACGTAATATAATGCTTTGTAAGCGTTAGCATTGTGCACTCATTATCTCGCATCGATATCCAACATTATCTATTTTAACGAAATTAATGGTTTCTTCTCTCAATGTGCATGCATAAATCTACAGATCAAGTAAATCGCATCGATTTCTTATAAATAACAATCATTAACAGACTTACTACCTTAAATCTTTGTATCCTTTTTTGACTCACCGAAACAGTAGAAACTCAGGATGGACCACATATTGCTTCAGATCTGAAATAAACAATATAATATCGTCAATTAAACACAAAAGTAAATGACTTAATGAAAAAAATACGAGCGTGGAAAAATACGAGCGTGGAAAAATACGAGCGTGTTGCCTTTGCAATCACTGTAATTCAACCATTTTTATTTCGACAACCACTTCCCAATTTTTTATTACAAAAGGTTAAGTTTAAGAGTAGGGGAAGTCTATAAACTTACCTTCGAGCCGATCCTGCTCTGCCCACACTGGATCTGGTATAGCTTCCGCATTCACCGAAACAGCACCCTCGGGAATCACATTCATCATGCGACTACAAACTCTAGCAGATCTGAAACAAAAAAATAAATTTACCGATTAATTATGACGATAAATGTTATTAACGTTATGACGATAAATTGTATTAACGTGTCAAGTATAAAACTAATACTTATATTTACAGGAGACATTCGAAAGAAAAGCATAGTTTTGATATTTATCTATAAATTTAACATTCTCTCTGTATCATAATATTAACATTATTTCATATTATTTAATTCCCCTTGACATTTAAATAGTTAAAATGCGTAATCTCCGCGATGACAACCGCCGAAGTAAGCAACGACTAACATCGAGATCGAGACAGTTAATCAGTATCATGAAAACGGGCTGCAATAGGATAACATGCCCTTTTCAATTAGTTTGACATGCATGACACATCGAGTCTTTATTTTCTCGTTTTTTGCGAATGTTCGTTGAACCGTATGTGTAAAATATTTATCATTTCTGCACGAATAACCATAATCCATCGTTGTGTGCGCATATACGTGTGAGTGTATGCGTGTTTCGATGGTCTGGTTTTGCCATTTGTATCGTTGATATGAATTAAATATTCGTTGCCACGATACGAGACGCATAAATAAATGAAATAGTTTAAAATAGGATTCGCGCAAGCTAAGAGCTCCTATAATTTTAAACCGTCTGTTTCTACGAGAAAAGCATAAAAATATAACGTCTTCTACATTATATGAGCAATTTATACGAAATGCAAAGCATTACATGTCATAAAAGGTATCCTTCATGTTTTACACGCAACGGTCAAAGTACGAAATAAAAATGAATTGTTGTTAAATAAAAATATTTTAACGAGCGGGCGATGTACTTTTGTGCTCGACGCTTCCATGTTCAAACTAATGCTTTCGTTTTTAATTACTTCGCTATTTAGCTCTTAGCTAAGAGCATTTCCCCCTCGCTCTTATTCATGCGATCCATTAAAGTATTCTCTTAGGCTTCTAAGTTAAAGCATACTATTTCACGTAAGAACCTGTAAGAAGCGAAATTTTGATCCTACATTAACCCTGCAAATTCTGTTGAACTTTGAAGATTAATGCAAAATCTAGATATTTCTATACCTCGAGATTTTTCATTGATCTTTTGAGTTCGACGAAATCTGTAAAGTTAATGTAAAATCAAAATTTCGATTGCCGAGATAGCCTTAACATAAGCGACAAAAGTGCAGACGAGTCGAAGGCGGTATATCCTAAAAACAAGTAAAAATATATATAAAAGCTGCAAGAAAAATGTAGTCATTTCAGTTAGTGAGATACAGTTCGTTTCGAGTGTTTTGATGTGGAAAGCGCCGTAATGGCATTTGCGGGTTCCGCGTATTCGTCGAAACAAAGAAATACGAACAATATATTATAATTCATTTTAAAAAATGCTATTTTACAAAACCAAAATTCAACTCGTATAAATCCGTTATATTTTTCTGGAAAAAAAATTTAGTTTACTTTTTATAGTTCCTCAGTCTCGCGAAAAAATTAAACCCATGGATTTTCCTTCATTTATTCAGAGATAAAGTCGACTAACGATTGAAATCTTTATAAGCGAAGGTAAAACCGAATATCCAATTAAGCACTAAATGTCTCATGATAAGCGGCTAACTGTTACAATATTATTCGAAAAGACGCGTCGATTTTGCTCTGGAATATATCGATATATACCTTGTCCATTCGCGGTGGCGACATTTTCATGCTTTATCCGTGCTTCATCCGCCGACCCGGAGTTTATCTTACCGTGGAGGCGAACGATCGATGACGACTATGATAAGCAATCCCGGTGCCCGAGGGGTTTGTACTTTATCGCCCATCACCGCGTTCTTCATAGGCCCCCGTTCTCGAATTACATTATACTCATACGAGAGCCTGCCGTCGACATATACACATATATATATACAACGCACGCACGCACACACACACACACAAATCGTAGCGTAGAAAAACACACCCGCGGATATATCGAAGAATTCGCGAGCGCGAACACGCTCCAATATCGCGGCGCGATTCGACATTTTCTCGGATCACACTCGAGCACGATCTTTTGGCGATTCGTTTACGTATCGGCTGCCATCAGATTTCTTCGAATTGTATACCCCCCTCCCCCCCCATACACACGGATGTACATACACATGTGTGTTTATAAGTACGATATCGCGTGCCGGCACCAAAGATAATGCCAACTACAGAAAATATTGTTACACTCGCCGCGGCATCGTGTACATCGCTCACGTTGATAGTTCGGAAATGCAGTGCGAACGAATCATATTAAACAGGTTAATCTTTGCAAGACTCCCGGTCTATGTGGTAAGTATCATTGGAACATATGTCGCGGCGATTATTCATCAAGAATAATGCAAATGTGCATCATTTGGGTATTTAGCGATGTTTCATCTTTATTTTCAGTCTCTATCATTATACCCGACTTTTTAATCATGAAATATTAATTACTAGCTTTTAATCTAATTCCTAATCTAATTCCTAATTCCTAAATACAATAAAATACTATATATACTAAAATACACTAAAGAAAGTACATACAATAGGATAAAAAGAAGAATAGAGAATAGAGTAAAAATTGCGATATGGCAACTGCGTTGCAAAATAAATAGGACACGATAAATATTGCTTCTACGCTCCTCTAATGCGACGTTGTCTTCTTTCTTTACTGATATCTCGGTTCCAATTCGAGCACGATAATCGCACACGCATAACATAAAAAGAGCTGCGCAATAACACTTACTAAACCGACAGTTGTCGTTAGATAGTTACAGAATACAGCTCCCAGAGCTCAGCAAGCGCATTTTCCAGTTGATCTTCGAGAGGCTTCTCCTTGACTCGTCGTCCAGCGCGCAGCCTACGTGCCGTTTTCGAATTTCAGGAACGTGGTTGCATATCGTACCATAGGACCCGTAGAAGGGAGAAAAATCAGAAGACCTATGGATCTTTTGTTAAAGATACTATATATTCTTATTAAATACTATATTTCTTATTAAATTTTTGCTTTAATCGTGAATATTTGTTTTCAACAGTTTTCCACGTCACCTATGTGTTTTCCTTATTAACTTTTTCTCCCTTCTATGAGCCCTATAGCGCGAAATGCAGTGACCACGCTCCTGAGATGGCTTATAGGCTGCGCGCAATACGCGACGCGAGACAGTCTTCCGAAAATCGACCGGAAAGTCCGACCCGGCGATCGTCGCTCTGACGTATACTATAGATTTTCAATACTGAATATCGAAACGCAATTATAATGAGCGACTTCCAATTTAAACGCGCTAGTGAACACACTAAAAAACGCAGCAGTATCATAGTGTCGGTTACCGCGGCCTTTTGTGTTAAATAGTAAAAACAATCGTGTATTGACGCGCCGAAAGTCGGTTTTCCTTGACGCGCATTAGCGGTCACGTGAGCAATAACAAACACTCACAGTATGTGTCTCAGTCGTCGGCCATACGGGCGCGGAGATGAACACGTTGAAACATGTCGCGCGTAACCGTCAACTTTTGTAAGTCGATAGGAACGTCCGTGAGACAAATTGCGGCAAATCGTTCGTGCGATTATCGGCGCCGGGATCGTTGTGAGCAGTGGAAACAACATGAAATCAACAAGGGTGACTCAAGGATAATTATATGATAATTGTATTAGATATCAAAAAGTAATACGATCGGAATGCTTACTCTTAACTCTGTTATTGCGGCTAACAAAAAACTGTGTTTCTTTTTTAGATCCAACAGAGTTTTCGCGATCGCGAGACAGTTGCAGGATTAAAGGATACAAACGCAGTACCGAAGGATTCGGCTTGACATACAGTTGTCGAAATAAAAGTCGCGGAGTTACGATTGCGGAAGTTAGGTTAGATTTAACCGGCTGAGATTTTCTCGCCAAACTTAAGTTATGCAAGTACTACTATGCAAAGAGACAATGCATTCGTATTATACGCGCATTTTTTTGTTAAGTCGTGTCCTTAAATCCAATTCGTTCACGATGAAAGATTTTGCGATCGTCACGCTCGTTAATTTCTATGTTTTTCCACGCACATTTCTTTACGTCGTGACTTTTTGTAAATAAAATAAATCTTGAAGTTCAATTTAATATCGCGTAAACTCCGATAAAGTAGCGCGAAGCAATCGGACGTAACGATTTCACGCTCTTCACAATTATATTCTGCTCACGAAATTATTTATTCACGGATTGATTTTCCGCTCCTTGCAATTTTTAGTTTTCAACTTTTTATATAGAATATTTGCCGTGAAATATGATATGGCTATCAAGCACGTTATTAGACGAAAATGTTAAATTTTTTGTTTGTTTACATTTCGGGATCTCGGTTGTTAAAACTATTGTCGGAACTTTCGAATGTTTATAATTACATTTTGTTGGCGTATGTGTTAATGGATTTTACAATCGCCATGGTTTCTGGTTTTCGGTTTTTTACATTAACGTTCGCGTTCGCGATTACATTTTTAGAAAATTGCAAATTACATTAAATTAAACTCGCGGAAACATTTGGAAAGTAAACTTCGCAAAGATATTACGAAGTTGTTTCCATATCAGTTTTGCAGAATAATTTCTGCGCAATATCGTAGAACAGTCTTTACATAAATATTTCGAAGCCATCCTATGCAAAAATCTCACATCACTCGTAATCACTTCGTTTGCATGTTGCGTTGTTGACAGATCTCGCGGTCGGCGCAATTATTATCTTTATTGAATATATCGTATTATAAATCGCAAGAATTAAGGCACAAACAATATATACTCAAGCGACGAGGCAACAGCTAATTACTGTTATTAAATCCGACCGTTGTTAAAAAATCATACATTAGTTTATCTCGCACATGTTACGCGATCGAGCAGGTCTTAATCATATATGGTGTATATACTACATTTAAATAGTCAAACAGTGATAGAACGAGTGCCTATTTGACTGATTGATCTTTAATTCGCGTCACGTTTATTTTGCTCGTAAATTTTTGTTTCACGACTTCCACTATCGATTTTCAACGTCTGATTTGAGTCGCGACTGCGCGAAAATGACACGACACGTCACGAATTCGCGAAACGGAAAACCTGTTCCCCGAAAAGTGGAGCCGCGATTTTGTTTTTTCATATTTTCGACTTCACTGTGAAGACACACCGTGGTCTCTGGCTCGCGATTTTTTACGCGTGATTCGCCATTCGCAAGCATGTTATAACTTGTCGCACAAATTCGCGAAATTCCAGTGTCGTTTTTCGTCAATCGAGTTTATGTTGATTCCGTCTGGCGATAAATCCAAACCTTCCACAAACGCCGTCATGATGCGAACATTAATCACGTCGCGAATGAAGTGTGAAGTGCTACAATCCAACGTGGGACGACGCAGAACGGAGACTGGACTTACGGGTGCGAAACGACTCAATTCTGGCTGCAGCTGCGAGTGTACATGACTGGACAGCGGTAGATTTCTACGCTAAACGGTGAGCGATGAGTTTCGACATTCACCGAGTGTCATAATAATGTAGTATACATGTATGGTAAATTGCTTTGATTCCCGACGAGAAGAATAACGCAGCAGTTATACGCTGCCGCTCAAGATTAAGAAAGCGCGATATTTTAATCACTACTATTGAGAATGTTCAAACGAAAATGTCGGCTTAGCGAATATCGCGTAATTTTTTCTAATACGGAATGAAAGAATTTAAATGAAGTAACAGATCAGTCATTAAAGTTTTCCTTGAAGCAAATGATTAAACAACTTGCACGTAACCACGCATATTTGTCGTTAGTGATCAACTTGTTAATATCAGTTGATTGATGTCGTGTATATCTTCTTCTCGTATAATCAAGAGACGAAATCAGCTGAATTGTGAAAATCAATATTGGCTGATCTGCGCGAATCAATAAGAGATGTCGGATCGCGATGTGCACACGTGCTGGCACTAAGAGTGTGAAATCTACGTGACACATTGGCAAACATCAATTGAACATTTAGATATTAGGATTATCAATCCTAATTAAACTGTTCTATGTTAGATACGCTATTAAGGCATCGTGAAACGATAGTTTTATACTATAAGATACATCATCATTTGATTGGTTTTTCACCTTTTTATTTATTGTCGATTCGTTATTGTTTTTCTCGATGTCGAATGAAAATGGTGAACGCGCTGATAATTGTTGAAATGTAATTATCTTTTTAATTCTACCGTTAATTGTGATAGTAAATACTATCGGTGTCGTGTTGAAATTAAATCGCATGTGACGTGCTGCCCTGCAGGCTGCTTTATATTCGTTACCACAATTAATCCAAACTTAACGGTAATGCAATTCGCGTGCGGATAGCAGAAAGTAATCTATAATATGCTGACAAGCTTGCGCGCGCTCATTAACAATTTGCGCGATCGGAATTTATTATTCCTCAGTCGCAGAGGACGTCATTGTGCCACGTAACGAAATTTACGTTTTTACGTTTGATCATTTTATGCTACGTCATTTAAGAACAATAATATGCAAAATATATTCCGGGTTGTAGGGTGAAATTCATATTTCTATGGTCGTTGCGTCAGAAATTTAATGGCATCATTTATAAAATATCGAATTTATTTATAATAACTATCTCTCTTGGATTGTCTTCTTCATCAGGCTTTCAAATTTATCCTGGCATAAGCCGGTACACATATTATACATTCTAATTCATCGTGTATATATTATACCATGGTGTTCATTATATATTTTGATTACGTAATAATGAAAATCTTATTTTCCGTCTTTCTCGCAGAGATCATCATATTATCCTTCTATATACACGTTATCTTTTCTATCTGTCAAAATTTTCTCTCTTATTTCGTAGCATCGAATTATTTGGAATTGAATGCACGGCAGTACCAGGAGGAGAGAGAGAAAGAAAAAAAGAGAGAGATCGGGTAATTAATCCTAGTCCATTTCTAGCTCTTTATCAAAAATTCATCAAGCTGTGTGTACGATTTCTGACGCCCGAGGGAACAGAGAAATAACAGTTCATAGGGATTCATATTTAAGTAGTTTTTGTGCGCTATTTAAGTATTTAAATGACGTATACTTCCACGTGTGCACGCCCGCATACGCGCTGCTTTTCAAGGTGCAATTCAACGAGAATTAAATAACACAATATCGCTTTGTTAATAGAAATGCTGAAATATGCATGTGCGTTGGGCGCAAATAATGTTCTTCTCGCGAATGTGGAGAACATAGAGCGCGATATTTAGTATTTGTCGTTAACATAATTTGATAACATGATAGTGGCACGTCCCAAATAATACTATACGCAAACGCATATTGCGTTTTTACTTTGCCCTCTTCATCGGCGATATTTCATCCCCTGCCCGCCCGGAGCTAAATGCGGTCGTAATTGTATGCGATCTCAATTGCACGAGTAATTTTAGCTCGAGGGAATAATATGCAAAATCATTTTCGGACAACTCACAAATAAAATTGGACGAAGCGCGATCATTATCCACGCAACCACGCGCTCTGTAAGCGAATTTAACGCTAAACGCTCGTTCTGTTGCGCAAATCGTCGTAAAATTGCTAGTGTCTTGAGCAAAAACGCGAGACGGTGAAATATCGGTTACCCGTCGATAGCGTTTTGCATCACATTACGTACTTACTATTGAATTCTGCACGTTTTCGTCGTAACTCCTTCGATAAGTCAATTTAACTTTTGCGGAAGATTTCTCTCATTAAATCTGGCCGATTATCGTCGGCGTATCTTAAGCCCTTCTTCTCGATTTATCATCTCCTTTCATTCCGTCGCTTCAAGCAGAGATACGCTCGCTGTTGCGTCGAGTCGAAAATCCGTT